TAAAAAAAAGATATTAATCTTTTAATTATTTCACCGGATATTTATAACGATAAGTAAGTATTTTCATTTTAATAAGTTTAAGCGTGTTGCATGGCTAAAACAGCAGCGAAAAGAGCGAAGGCATATCGAGAGCGGATAAAAAAAGATAAAGTCAAACATGAACAAGTTAAGGTAAAAGCTCGTCAACGTAATAATTCTATTTTTAGGAAATTAACAGATAAAGCATTAGAAAATTTTCGTGCTAATACTAATTACCGTCAAAGAAAATGTCGTTTAAAGAAACGTAACCGTTTAATTAATAATAAACCATCATCATTTCAAAATTGTCAATCTTTTGGTAAAGCAATGAAAAAAGTAACATCTGCTTTACCAAAATGCGATAAAAAAAAGAAAGATGTTATTCAACATCTAGCTCAAAAATATAATCTTGTTCCAAAACCTGTTCAACAACGTACACGTGCCAATATATCTAATCAGATTAAAAATGTGGTTCATAAGTTTTATCTAAGGGACGAGGTTTCTTATCAATTACCTGGTAAACGTGATACTATTGTTGTTAAAAATGATGATAACACTAAAATAACATATCAGAAAAGAATACTTTTGAATAATTTACGTGAAAGTTTTGAATTATAGAAGAGAATAAAGGAATAATTATTTCTCGTTCATTGTTTGCTAATTTAAGACCTCCATTTGTAGTTCCAAAAGCAGCGCTAGCTTATAGAATATGTGTGTGTATCTAGCATGAAAATGCTAATCTAATACTGAAAGCAATTGATAAATTTGTTAAAGGAAATGTTTGTTCATCTTTACAACAATTTACTGGAACTTTAGTTTGTAATACTGCCAATCAAGAATGTATGTTTCTAGCATGTCTATTATGTGAAAGTAATTTTCAAGAGAAAGTTATTGATAATGTTGTAAGTGGAGCAACTAGAATTAAATGGTGACAATGGGTCAATATAAACGGACGCGCAGAAAAAAAGGAATTTGAAGGATCAGTTGATGAAGCTGTTGAATTGTCAAAATCCAAAGTTAAATATTTTCTATTTCATGTCTATATTAAACGTGAACAAAATAAATATTCCGAACAGTTAAAGTCAGAAGTAACAGATGAAAAAGTTGTTATACAAGTTGATTTCGCTGAAAATTTTGGATTGAAAGAGCAAGACGAAATTTAAAGTGCTCATTGGAATACAAAAACCCTATCTATATTTACAGCTTATGTATGGTCTAAAAGTCAAGGTTTTTCATTTACGCTTCCATCGAATGACGTCTCTCACGATAAATTTGTCGTAAACTCAGCTATTGAAATTATTTTAAATGAACTTAAAACGCATGTACCGAATTTAAAACAAATTGATTTCTTTTCTGATGGCGCAGTCTCACAATTTAAGCAACGTTTTATGTTTCATAATTTAATTCAGATTGCTCATGAATATAAAATAGCTTTAAGTTGGAATTTCTTTGCTACAAGTCATGGAAAAGGTGTTGTTGATGGTCTTTGCGGGACTGTTAAGAGGCTCGTTTGGTCAACAGCATTGGCAGGTGATAATTTTAAATCAGCGGAAGATTTTGTTAAGTTAGCGCAACAGAAAACAAAGAAGATAATTATAATTTAAATTACGAAAAATGATATTGATAGTTCAAAACCTAAACTAGAAAATATATTTCAAGCAGCTAAGTCTGTACCAGAAACATTCAAAACACATTCTGTAAAAGTAATTGATAATAAAACTCTCTCTCTCAACATTAAGTTAAACAAAGAAAACAATTAAATATGACTAAAGAAATTTTTTGCTTATCAATATATTTTGTTTTCATTGCAGCGGCTGTTTGTAAATACATGTTGTGTGAGTGTGAGTGTGGTTTTAATGTTGAAAGCCGATGAAAGGCAAAAAAGGAAATATTCCCTTAGCCAGGGTTCTTGACGATTAGGCCACAGAAAAGAGAAAAAAATATACGAAAAAAACATTACCCAGTTCCCGGAGGCAGGGTCTTCGTCCCGAGCTGGAGAAACGCTAGTATTTGAGCTAGCGTGTTCTTAAATGCTAGTGGCTAAGCGCCTCCATCGCTGAAGAAGCTCATAGAGCGGCTATCATCATTATGCTTCAAGTGTCTTACGTGGAAGAAAAAGATGGTTCAACCATTAGTTAGGGAAGTTCTAAGATTCAAGAAACTACCTTAGAGTAGAGAAATGCAGTAATTTCGCTCTTTTAGGACTAAAAAATGTTTTCATCCAACAATTATTTCGTCATTGAAAACCTCAACCTTTGTGAGAAAAAAAGAAGTCACAGCGTGCAATAAATTGGATTTTCTAATCGACGCAAAGGGTCTGAAACAAAGTTCTTTTTAGCAACAGATAGCTCTTTAGTTACTCTACAAACTTCTCTCTAGGAAAACGTGTTTTGTTAAATGAACTTCACAGGAAATTGGTATTTAATTAGCAACAACCAGAAAAAGCGCCTTTTTTGTCACAGCATCACGGCCGGAAAAATGGTTCTGTAGACTAGAGACTTAACTCAAATTTTTTTTCTCTTATATCATACATAGAGCGAGGTAAGCTGCATCGAATGCCGCCAGAACCAATCTTCTAGCTCTTGTACTTTTTGAGCTGATTTAAAATTAACGTGTAAAAAGTGTCACAGCGTCACGCTTGGACAAGCCGTACAGTAAGAAATCGCACATTGAATAAATATACCAATAGACAAGCAATGGAAAACAAACTCCAGATCAGAGCCACTAAAGGTAGCCTCCCTCCCATTTCAATTGAAATTTGCTCTCCATTCGACACGTTGTTTGACATTGATTACAAATATCACACCTATTTCTGTTTCAAACGAAAAAATTAAACGTTTTTAGCTCGTTCTTCTGTTCTTCACGCCAACTTGACTTTAACCCCAACATTTTCGTTAGTTCGCGATTTCTAGTGTTCACCTTCTCCACCTTCAGGCAAGACTTGACGTTGCACTGGCACTTTGGAAGATGTATTATTATTACAACAAGCAGACGATATTTAATAAAATCAATTTTTGAGTGTGGAAGCTTGTCTTTCAAGTAAATATAATGACTTATTTCGTTTAGTTTTATGGGCTCTTTCCAATGGCATGCTGAATGAATATTTTGGTTTACGGATGAATTTTTTATATTCGAAAAAGCTAACATACCACGTTTTTTCGAAATAATAATCACCATTTTTTAAATAATTCTATATCCGAAGATCTATAAGTTCTGAATCAATTCGAGCGTATAGTCGTGTAGCCCTTTAAACTCCGGTTTTTTCTGCTGAATCAAATTCGATTAACTATGGTATAAACTATATAAGAAGGCATTTGTCGAAACTCTATTTCGGTACCTACTAAAAATAACGAATTTCGATAGGAATAAGCTTATTAACATTAAAAGCGAAGAAAGTAGAAGGGTAATTCCATGGAAAACCTCCCACTATATATAAAATGTTCTTCAAACTCGATGAAAATTTCAGCGTTTATTCAACTATCCATCGCGACCTTCTGAGATGTTTTTTTTCGAAAAAGCAAACCTTTGGAGGTGCAGGTGGCACTTACCACGGATTAGGGCCCAGCTGAAAATCATTGTTCTCTACCAATAGACGACATAGATGGTACCTCAGCATATATTTATGTACTTCAAGTCATGCTCTTTACAACCGCTTAATCAGAAAAATTTTCAGAGCCTATATTCTATTTTTTGGATAATTAATAAAATAAGTCCTTTTACCGAAAACGATGGTAAAATGGTAAAGCTTTTTTGCCTACACCATCCACTTTCAACCAACAGTACTATATGCAATTAATTCCTCCGATTATAAGCTATCGATTGCAGTATAAACCAACTTTTGAATATAAGCGGTTGGTTGGCGGTAGCGCTTGTATTAGTATCAATTTATGAAAAATAATAAACTTTTACCGATTGGAAAAAAAATGGCTATATTCCCAGGCAAATTCAGATAAGCCGATTTGTAGTGCGAAACGTGCTCTACGATTGGGCATTAGCCGTTTTTCAGTCCTCCTAATAGTTGTTGAAATTTTCAACAACTAGTAGTACTCCAGCAGAGATCATATAATAATTGCCGTCGGCTTTTTACCATACCTCGAAAGTCCCATATGGGACTTATCGCCGTTACTAAGACTTGCAAACACATCTTGGTGTGTAACAATGTTTTTAGTTCAATAGCTCTACTATTTCTAAAAGTTGCATATGTTACTGTATTTATTTAACCCTTTTCAGCCGGCTGTTTCCAAAACACAGCAAAAAGCGTTGCCAAATGGCAACATCAGGCTGGAAAGGGTTAAGAGTAATTTTAGTGGAGGAGTTTCACCTTCAGACCTTAAGAGACGATCCACGAGCGCATCAAGCTTATGCAGGAAAATCCATAACCTGGTCAAAAAATAGATTTTGTTCTAAACTTGCTTATTCGATTCTCTCTGTTCAAAGTTATCTACATATCTAAATTTTCGGATCTCAAAAATGTTTTGTTGTCGACTTATGAAATTTTTAAGAAAATGAGTTAAATTTTTTTCTCAGAAAACGACTGTTCTTTTAAGCGTAACTTCAAATAGGCATAGGTATTATGTAAACTGGCAGCTGAACGAGACTGTGGTATTGCAATTAATATTTCACTATGGAAATTTGAAATACAAAAATATTACATCACAATTATCGATGCTCCAGGATATCGGGATTTAACATTAGGCTATTGACACCACCATCAGAAGTGTCATGAAGAGATGTTGACACCTACTAGAGGTGTCACCGAGAGTTATTGACACCTCCAAATAGTATATAGACTGTGCGAGAAGTGTATTTCATACAATGACATGAATGCACTTCAGATATAGGTGACTTCGATGAAATTCATAGGATGAAACTTTAAAATTCAGTATGCTACGTTGGATAAATATTCCTGTAGACTGGTGACATTATCGTATATCTGAGTAACTGGCAGGAAGCAGAAGAAAGCCTATTTATAAAATGAGTTCGTTCGGTGTTTCAGCATGAATTTTGAAGTTTCATCGAATGAATTTCACTGAAGTTCACCTATATCTGTGTGCATTCATAGGACTATATGAGATACACTTTTCGCACAGTCTACATACTAAAACTAAGAGGTATCAACAATGGTTACCGACGCCTCGAGGTGTAATGTGCAGACTGAAGCTGAATCATTCTTGAATGGATTATAGTTTCGTCGAATAATAAAGTACAACCTTTTTACTATTAAAGATGTTTAGTTTATAGGACAGTGCCAAAAGCGTACGCTTAATTGCCTAAATTCTTTCTTTTCTTTGTCAGAGGGCTGCAAGTGAGCACTATATATAGAGTAATCACGGTACTACTAACAAAGCAGTTGCTGTTGTTTCGCTGTTTTATTTTTCGCTCACAAAGATAATAACTAACGCTCGAAGTAGTGTGTCACCTTCTAGCTGCCAGGAGGATATTATTCTGTCTCTAGAAAGTTTGATAATTGCGATAATGACTCCTTTCGAGAGATAAGACGGATACGAAGTAGGATTGTAAAGAGAGATTGTTGCTGTGTGATCGTTTATTCGCATGTTTGAGTCAGTGAGGCACATTTGCTTTTGAAGGTTATACGAGGGTTTAAAGAGAACCGAAGC